GGGGGAGGGGGGAGGGGGGGGGACTGGGAGGTCAAGGGGAAACCGGGTCTTGATAGTCCTGAATGAAACTTTGACCATAAAATAAAATGAGTAGTGAATATCGGAGAAGTGATGGCTGTCCGTGAAACCTAGGAACTTTTATGAGCAATACGGGACTTTATATGTATTGATAGGAAGCGTAGAAAAATAACGAAGGCTATTGTTCTCGTGCTGATGAGGGTAGCATTAAAGTGGTTTAGAACGGTCCGTGTGGTTTCGAAAGGATCCGTGCGGTTTGACGTCTGTGAGAACTAAATGCCATGAGATATGCAAAGCAGAAAATGGGGATGAAAAGCTTATGAGTCCGTATTTTTCTCGCACTATATGTTCCACCACAGCATATATATGGATGAGGTACTGGGCTCGGGGTCCTGCGGTGTAAGGCCCTGCCGGGAGCCTAGTCCAATACCATATGCGCGATTGAGATATCAGCGCCAGATGCGACCCGAAAGTCTTCGCACCAGTGTCCGTAGATGGAGGAGTACAAGATCCTAGAGACTAATTTCGTTGAGAAGCCTACCCGCAAGACGAACGTGAAGAAATAGATGATGGTAAGGTATGATAGCCAAGTCAATAAAGCTCAGACTCACAACGTTGACGACTGACGCTAATCCTAGAGCTTGAAGCAGAGTCGCGACAGTAAATTCAACTTACTATCGAGCACGGTCATGGCACGTACCAGATCAGTGACCTGCGATCTGGCTCAGTTCGAGTACTCGCCGCACCGCGCCAGCAGCAACTGGGCACCGGTCCCTCTCCGCCCCTGACTTCCAAGCCACAATCGTTCCCTTTTAGGCTTTGACTCCTTGAGCTTAAGCGGCATGAGTAAGATAGCGTCTCGGTCGGTAACAAAAATCTCTTAGGCAGGCGCCTATCAGTGTAGTTTCGGAGAAACTCATGTTTAAGAAAGTGACGCGGTCATCGACGAGGGCATGCATTGGCAGCGGAACGTGAGACAAGCCGACGTTGTATAATTTTGAAGGCTCACATGAATAAACACTGAGTATAAATAGATATAGCACTTCCGTGGCCGCAGCCTACAGGAACGACGTTCAAGTCGGTCAATTATTGTGGAGGACTACCTATACTTGCGATAGCGTTGCAAATATTCAAGCCGTCTAAGCGCTAGCAGAAATAGACGCTGTTCGCCACATTGCTATTTAGTACTTACAGCTTACAGTACGGCGCCAGCACGACTAATGAAGATAGCGAAGTGCACCTCGTACACATATCCCCGCTACTGGCTGCTCTCGCCTCTCTGTAGATTGGGCATGGTCTCAATTTCCGTCATCGCACACAAAGCCTCTTTCCGAGCATGCACCAATTCTGTAAACCCGCTCCTTGGCGGCAGCGCAAATGGCAACAGTCTGGGAGAATGAAGACCTCCTTAATAGGCGCCCAAATCGCATCGCAGAAGTCGGCTTGGGTGGATTAGAGTCGTCGAGCTGATGCACGAGGGGCATGAAAATGGTTCGTCGTGCGGGCTCTTTGATTCCAGCATCACTCTTCCATCTTGTTACTAAAACACCCGTCCGTGTTCTAGCAGATGTCCTCCCATCCTCGAGCAAACCTTTATCCTTCATGATATTCGAACCATGACTATTTGATTGTTCACATCTTTCCCCCAAATCTGTCATCTGTCAAAGGTACATGACACTCGTCTCAGTTTCCAGATCGTTGCGCACCTTCCTAGATCCTATATGTACTACCATCCTGCCTGGGTCACGTATCCACTGTCTGTTTATACATCACCGATATTCCAGTTGCTGTGTCCCATTAGTGCTCCCCATGGGCCAGATTTCATCGCTCCCTCTTGAAGAAGTTCTTGCCATTGAAGCGCTAGTCGAAGCTACTTTATTTGGCATCTTCTTCGTCCTCTCTACCGCTTCTCTTTACCTTCTCATAAGGCGCTCCCGCATGCTTATTCGTTCGCGGCCATGGCCCCCCCTCACGGCTTTCATAGTCGCCACTGTGCTGATATTCGTCTCAAACACAATGGTGAATGGTCTCGTCCTCACCGCGCGCGAGATAACCTACCCGGAACACAGCACTGGATCCTCTCTGTACTTCAGCTGTATATGGCTGTAGAGTACCCATCGATGCTTATTGAAAACTTCGGTCATTCAGTGGCGGTGGCCGAAACTGGCGCACTCTTGGTCACGGTGATTGTGAATGATGTCGTGATGGTAGGTCTTTCTGCCTCCGATTTTACACATCTCCAGGTTGATCTTCCGTGAAAGATATATCGCCTATGGATCGTTTGGTCTTACAGCAAGCGTGCCATCGTCCTCCCTCTGTGCACTCTTATTGGTTTGACGTGTGAGTCTATCCCTGCGCAATATTGGCGTCCTCCATCACCCCCGTCCAGTTTGTGGAGTCACTGTCGTGTATCAAGAGTCCCGATATGAATACAGTCTGGAATCTGGCACGACAATGAGTAGGTTGTTTGTCACCAATCTCATCTTCGTTATGTGGAGCGTGTTTACTCTTTGGTACGTATTCTACTTTAGCTACTTTCTGCAAACACCAGAACTTACGCTGCTCGACATAGCACAAATGTGTACTGCACGGGTGAGTCACTTTCTGAGCGTGCGGTAATGACGGCGTACTAATTGCTCGTTAGTGATGATCGCATGGCGCATCTGGTACATCCACTCAGCAATTGGGGGCAGGAGGGGCAGCCTAATGGTGAGTGGTACAGTTGCTATTCAAATGCAGTTGTTCAGGTCTCTTCCACTCAGTCCGTGCTCGCTATCCTCGTTGAGAGCGCGGCCATATATACGTGCGCATACTGTACCTTGTATGTTGGACAGTTTCTGACTGTTTTGGAATAGAATATGGACGATCTTCTTTCTGATCGCCTGCAAACTCTACCCCGATTTGCAGCCCCTCGCCTATCTGTTGCTCTCTGTCGTCACCGGCATCTCGTTCATGCTCATCAACGTTCGTGTAGGAATGGGCTGGGAGGAGCAGGCGCCGCCCACATTCTCTACGTTCGTGCCTGCACCAGCTGCGGTCGAGACGCATAGCGAGTTATGTGTGACGCGGCCCATGGTCGCGCACGCAGTCGGTAGCAATGATAGTTTAGGAAAGCCCGTCCCGTTCATGTCTTCCAGTGTCACGGTCGTGCATATGTGACTTGACGGGAGTGTTTGGCGGGTATCTTGACCTCCTAACGGATCATGTAATTATCTTCAAGTATGTGTGTAAGGAAACTATGACCGGGACATGGGTGGCGTACTGCGTCGGGTCCTCAAACACGACAGCGAACAACACATGCATGCGTTCCATCACGGATACGGGCACGAAGATCCAGTGACATAAGAAATTGGGCCGGGTGTCGGTTTGTGTCGATTTGTTCGCCTCGCGTGAATTGATGATGCAGTGGAACTGAGCCCACAAGGCCGATATATCACTGCATCTCTGTTTGTTCCAGGGTGATGCGCACCAGGTCGTTGCATGGATGCATAGCGCCCGCCGGCATGTTGTAACCGCCGCTTCTGTCTCGTTCTGAGTCTGCTCACCGTCTGCTCACTTACGTCGCGATCGAATTGGAGCGCGAAATGCTGCAGATGGCGCCTCCCGAGCTATCTTTCCCAGCATTCATCCCATATGGGCCGGCATCGCTCCACGATGATGGAGTCACCAAATGAAGACTTCATTGACAGCGGTCGTCCTTTTTCTCTTTACTGGCATCCATCCGACCCGTTTTTCATAGCCCATTTCATAGTCTCGTACCAGGACCGCCCACGTGTTATGGACACCAAAGTTCATATATGGGGCCGAGAGACCTCAACGTCTAGACCTCTTAAGGTAAGACCATCGTAGCGTACTATTCATGCATGTTTGACAGTTTTGTCTCTCACATGGCGGGTGGTTTTCATTGGGGCAATCGCAGCGGACTCCGGAGCCCCTGGTGGTTCATGTATCTCGATTCATTAATCACAAGCTTGAACCGAATCGGTCTCATTCAGATAGACACATGTACATTGTACTAGTATTACTCTACCAACCTCGAACGTTTTAGTTCTATCAATCTCACGGTAACAAGGCCTCACTGACTACCACTCAGTCATTCTGCAAACCAGAAACAGACAGACGGTGCTGGGATCATAACAAGACAATGTATTCGCTCAATCATGTCAGGACGCGGCATAAGTGATGATGATACATTATGTACAATTCAAAAACGCAATGTGCGTGGTACAACATTCTCCAGAGAGAGAGCTCATGAAGCGGGACATGCACAACGATAGGTATGTGCTGGGATAGCCACAAGGGTGCACAACTTAGTGCAAGTTGGGATAGCCTGGTGCAGCCAGTCAGCATACTGTACCAAGAAACGGAAGAGGAAGCTTACTGCGGCGATCCCATTTGGCCTTGGTCTCGTCAGTGTATCCCTCGTCGCGACGATCCCATTTTGCTTTGGTCTCGTCAGTATATCCCTCATCGCGACGATCCCACTTTGCTTTGGTCTCGTCAGTATAATTCTCGTCGCGACAGTCCCATTTGGCCTTCGTCTCGTCGGTGTATGCTTCACCTAGGACATGAGGCATGTCAGCTAGAGATGCGGACAGAGTAAGGCCAGAGACAAACCGCGTCGGTCTGATAGCATTATGGTATGCCCATGTATAAGTGACATGTGTGCGGGGATGGAAGGAGGATCTCACCGGTGCTGCTGGACAGGTCTTTCTCGTACGCGGAGGAGCGGGGGCCTGCAAGAGCGGTGATATGTCTACGGAGTTCCTAACCCTAAAATAACCTAAAAGGGG